TGTCCGTTTAGCTCTTCACTGGCGTTAGATTGAGCTCTCTTCAAAATGCAAATGCGGTCAGCGGAGAAAGGCGGAGAAAGGGGGTGGGTAGGGGGCTAAGAGGAAGGGAGATGGAGAACCGCTGGTGAGAAATTGAGAAACGAGCCCATGAGCTGCGTCTCTCGCTCGTTCGTCGAGCCATGCATCATTGTTAATGGCAACTTGTTTGGATGTCGTATGTCGTGGTGTTGCTGCCGTCGTCGAATTGCTGCTGATGTTGCTGTTGCTACTACAGTCCAGTAGTGATGTAGTGCTGTAGTACCAGCATCAGCATTGATCAAACTTAATTCAAAGTTCCTGTTACGCGAGCGGCGGTGCAAAAATTTCGAAATATTGAGGCAGGGAATCGTTGTGTTGCTGCTGCTGCTGGTGGGTCCGTTGCTGCCGATGTTGCTGCATTATGCGTGCGATTAAGACGCGAGTGTGGCTGCTTAGTTACATCGTATTATGTGCCATAATTTAATTGACATTGCTCGCGTAAATCAGGCAATCACTGAACTGATATACGTTGTGTTGCTGCTGTTGTTGCTGTTGCTGCTGCTGCTGCGACGCTGACCGCAGCATAAACGAACGTGAGCTGAGCATTTAAATGCGGTCAGCCAGTTTTTCATTTTTTCTCGCTTAGCCGTTGATACTAACTAGACACTTGTATTATTTAAATCAAGTTGTGCTAGTTTTTTTCTTAATACAATAAAAACGCGCACAATTTTTTTGCCACTGCCATCTCGTCGTCTGCTGTACTGTACTGTGTCTGTATTATAGTATTTGATGTGGAAATTAATTTAATTTCGTTACAAGTATTTTGTTTGGCCTGGAATTCCAGCGAAGTATCATTTTGGGTTTCACCGCGGAGTCCATGACCTTTGGCGCAATACCAGAGCATTGGCCACGTCTCACGTTAGGGGTGGAGCAGCAGACTTATCGCAGCTCTGCAGCTCTAGACTTTTGGAGCTCTGCAGCTCTGGATCTCTGGAGAGAAGCCCCAGCCAGCGAAGGTGTGCACCGTGGGCGATGCGTCTGCATTTGCGTCTGCGTTTGCGACTGCGTCGTCATCAGACCAAGTCTGCTTTGCGTGCAGCGGAGATTCGCGAAGCCGCAACAGCAGCAGCAGCTTAAAACACACTCAGACACACCACACCACACACACACACACACACACACACACCAAACACACACTCACGCGGGCGGACTCATAAAGCAGGCGTTGTTGATTTTTGAAGACAGGCCCGAACAGAACCGCATACCCACGGAAAAAGGTTGCTTGGAAGTTCAAGGGACCAGTGAAAAATAACAAGAACCCCTTCGCAAAAGAAATACAAGCTTTTAAGCTTATAAAGTTACAAATTCGTTAAGGTACTACCTTAAACCAAGTCCAAAAGATCAATTTTAGATGGGTAGAGGCTTGTCAAAAAAATAAAAACAAACAGGAATTAGGATAATTAAAATAATCAAATATATAAGCTTAATATAATATGCTAATAATACTAAAAAATACTCAATATTCTAGAAATATTGAAGAACAAAGCATAAAATATAAATATTCGAGAAAAACAAATATTTTACACTTCTAAGGATTGTATGATAAGTTATTTATTCTCCTCTAGAATTTTCCATTTAAGTTAAAGTTAAAACTAACACTCACTTTATTATTAAGAAATACTTTTGAATTATTGTATATTTCTTTTAAATAAAGTTCAATGATTCTTTCCGTTTTAATAATAATTTTAAAATAAAGGAAAGTTAAACCAAGTTTGTTTTGCTTTGCTTTTTTTAAGAGTTATTATTTTAGTTCGTATATTTATTTTTTATATAGGTCAATAATCCATTAATTTTAATAATAATATAAGTTAAGCTAAGCTGTAAAGTATTTATTTTCCTACAGCTACTAAATAAACGTATCTACCAATATTTTTTGCTTGGCCTATTCTTCAGTTTCTTGGGTCTTTTGCTCCCACAAGCGCCGTTTTGGCAGTTCGTCTGCCAAATCCTTTGTTTTCAGCCAGCGTGGCCTCCTACAAAAATTTCGTGGCTTTTGTGGCTGTCGTTGTTGTTTTTCGCCCTTTTTATAGTAAGAGCCTCGTCGGAGGAACCAGATCAAAATGCGCCGATATGAGCTCATAAACACGCAGTTTAAAAGTATTTTTTATTATTTTATTTCATTTTTGACTTTGCAGGGGTTTTTGTTCCTTGTATTTTTTTTTTGTTTGTAGATGGGGCTGGGGCTGGGGCATAAAGATCAGAGCCGAGAAGCCTGTTGAAAAGGGGTTCGCATGGACGGACTGTACATACACTTTTGTCTGGCGCTGTCAGCTGGATTCTTGGCTTTTTGGGGGCATTGAAAATTTTTTTGGGCAATCCACTTGAGCCTCGTTCTATGTAATTATTCAATTAGTCGGGGTGCAAAAAAAGCGAGCGAGATAGGAAGCAAACAGTAGCCGAGATTTTGCTCTAATTGAAAGTTAATTATTTTCCGAATGCTTTGTATATGCTACTACAGTATAGTATACGGGCCATGTGTGTCTGGGCTGCGAGAGCTCATTAACAGTCACCGGATGCACTTTCAAATCAAGCGAACAGCAAGTGGCCAAGTGAAAGATGCAACTGGCAAACGAGTTTTTTGCTGCCGAAGACCCAGCAGCAGCAGCAAAAGTAGCAGTAGCAGCAGCAGCGGCTAAAAAATCATAATAAAATTACCATAATTATAAAAAAAAAAGCTGTAAAACAGCAAGCAGTATGCCACAGTTTTTTTTTTTTTTTTGCTCAAATATTCTTGGCTGCTTTGGCTGCTGGCCGGCAGGTGTTAGAACGGACAAGTTGCTGTCAGCTCGGCACAGACTACAAGGCTTCAAGTCTTCAAGACACAAGAACCGAATTGTATAACACGCCCCAAAAAAGAACCCAACCAACCCACCGCCCCCTGGCTGAAGGCCATTAAGCTTGGCTTAGTGTTTGTGCAACGCATAAATCTTAGGGCATTGTGCCTGAATGGTTTGTTTGCACGTCCCAAACATTGGCGTGCTCGCTATTTGGCGGACTAGCCTCTGTCCAGCTCCTGAAACTGAACTAAACTGAACGTGGCCAAATCAATAAAAAACTTCCGTTGCTCAAACGGCGAGGGCGGTTTTAATTAACACGCGGTGAACAGGGAAAAGCGAAAGCGGCCAAGACTCACTTACTACATATACTATATGTATATGCACCCCAAAGTGCAGTCATAAATTCAGGCTTTTGGCCAACTGTTTAACCCTTTAAAGGCCTGCGGCTAAGGAGAACCGAGATAGACCAAATTGATTGTGTCGCCGGGGGCGCAGGGGCGTGGCTATTTGCTTAGCTGCCTCGATTGACAGCTGCCACAGTCGCTGGAAGTTTTGGAAAATCAGGAAACAATGGGTCGGGTCGGGTCGGTCGGTCGGTCGGTCGGTCTAGGCTCTTACAAAAATGAGAATTTATTACACAGCCGCCGTGCGGCACGCCCGTTCTAGACTTGGTTCACCCTGCCCCACAGATATTCAAATATGTATCTTGATAAACAACTTGCGGTGGAGCAACACCCACGCCACCAAAACCAATACGAAGTCAGCCACAAATACACACACACACACACACTGCCGAGGGTCTTCAACTTGTTTTACAAGTTTTTCTTTACAACATTATTGTGCGGCTCTCCCTCTCGCCGTTTCGAAGCACATGAACTTTCGTGGCACACTAATTCAATTAGGAAGCCCACGCCCACTATCAATAAATTTCTCAAAACACGAGACTCGACTCAACTCGTCTCGACTCATTCACGGCTCTGTTTTCGCGAACGCTGCTGCTGGTTGCGACTCATCTGGAAAACCATTAAATAGAGCAGTGGCAACTAGACGAACTGGACATCGAGTACGAGTACGAGTACGACTATGAGTACTTGACTTGGGTGGGTGTTGCCTGTGACAATGCCGTGCCCCCTGTCGCGGGAAGCAAAAAAAAAAAAAACAAAACAACAAAAAACGTAAAACCAAACAGCAACTGAAACAGAAAAACTTTTCACAAAATTGACATTGACACACGTGGAGGAACAGCACAAAAAGAACATTACAATATTGCACATACGCCCGAGTGGCGTGTTGTCAAGTGAGAGGGTCACAGGCGTAGGAGGTTGTTCGCGTTGTTGTTGCTGTTGATGTTGATGTTGATGTGGATGTTGCTATTGTTACGTCTCTGCGGCCGTTGTCTTGGCTCGTTTGTCAGTCAACATTAGAGGCATGTCAACAATTCAATTGGGAAAATGCTAACTAACCGCGGGCGCAGCCGACAAAATGGCCCAAAGGATCCTTGCCCGCAGTTAAATATGGTGTGTGCAGTAGTGGTAGGGTAATTCCTCGCTCTTGGACACATTGCACAATGAAGATCTTAATTTGGGACTTGTTAATTTTCTTGTCCTATTGGGTATAAAATAAGGTTCCCGAACCGATATTGATATATGCTATATTTGTATTTAATTGAGTAAAAGCATGTGCTGTTTAAGTAGTTTAAAGTTTAATTTCGACATATGTATAGTTCAGCTGCGGTCAAAAGAAAAGTAGTTATTTGGCTTATCAAAATATCAATTAAAAATTGATTAAAAACAACTTTTTAAAAACTAACTCTTATTCCTACTCATTTACGGCAGTATATGGAAAAGTGAATCTTAAGAACCTCTTCTATAAATTGTAAAATGTTTTATTCTGTATAAAAAATGACATGAAAATGTTGTCAGAAAACCCTGCAATGTTTTTATTTAAGACTATACTATCTTTGTTAACATCATAACCCATGCTCAAAAAGGGGCTAGCTGAGACTTTCTCATTCACCAAAGATCTGCAACATTTCTACTTATAAATGAAGTTAAATAAATGTGTAATTTAAAACTAACTTATTTTTCTAGCTCCAATATAAGTTAATCAGGCCAAGGTGGCCAGAATTTGAGGGTTTGAACTCACCTGCGTTTGCGTTAGGCCCAGACTCGCCGCCAGCTCGGCCCGCTCGGGCAGGGCCAGGTATTGGGTGCGCTGGAAGCGGCGGTTGAGCTGCTGGAGCTGCAGCGAGCTGTAGATGGTGCGGGGCTTGCGCATCTTCTTGCCCTTGCCGTTGACGCGGAGGCCGGAGTCCTCGCATTTGTCCGAGATTGAAAAGTCTGCGGTGGAGAGGGGAAACAATGCGATGAAAGGAGCAGTCTGTAAATGGCAGGCCACTGGCCACTGGCCACTGACCAATGATGAATTTATAATCAGGCTATGGAATTATGGCCCGAATTGCCATTTGCCTTTTTTGTGTCCGCATGCACCAAATGCATATTTATGAGTGAATTCCCGTGGCAGTTGGAATGCATGAAACTGTTACATTTATGGACCTGAATTAATTGCAGCCGCATCGCTTAGAAATCGGGCAGCCAAGCTACGTACTAAACGCTCTGCCCAGATATCGATTCGTTAAGTAACTTGTAAATGTCAACGAATTAGCGTTAATTACTGAAACGAAAGTTCAAAGCACTCCACGACGGAGTTGTCCGTTCGGCCCATAAAACTATGATGATGATCGGTCGGCCACCACTCAAACTCAAGTTCAATGAGCGGCGACTGCAACTGTGTGTTGACGTTGCTAATTGTTCAAAAATAACACACGGAGCCACCAAACACAAACTAATATTAAATGCCAAATATGGTTACAGGTGTGTATCTGTATCTATATCTGTATATATATATCTGTATCTGTATCTGCCATCTGAGTGTTGGTGGTGTCGGCTTTATATATTTTTGGCGCCCGAGCAGGCAGCACGTGCTGCACACTCTTAATGACAAAATGGCAAGCCTCACTCGCTGTCACCTCGACCACCGACTGTCGACAGTGCTGTCCTGGACAGTCGCCATTTGTCCATTTCACTCGGCCATGGCCACACATTCGTCCATCAGAGAATGGTGTAATAAATTACGCCAAACGAAGGCCTAATTACTGCAACTATAATTACAAACAACTGGGCAGCCAGCTGGGATCTGGGGATTCCTTCTAACGATCAGCTGCTTTGCAGATCATCTCTGGGCCAGGTCTAAACACTGCGAGTGAGTTTCAAGAGCAAGTGCACCAAGGTTAATTGGCCCACGTTGCGTATGAGTGACGAAAGTCAAAGACAGCAAATCGAGGCTGAATAAAGCGTTGGCGTTGTCGTTGTCGTTGCCGTTGTTGTTGCTGTACTGACGTTGTTCACATCCCCCGACAATGGATAAAAAAATGAATTGCTTTTCACTCACCGAAAAGCGAAACTGCTCAACCAAAACGCATCGAAATAGCAACAAAATTGTTGAACAAAATACGAGGGACAGCCGCATTAGCAACAACAACGAATTGTCACAGTCAAGCGCGCAATTATGCCAGAGACTGGGAAAAAATGTACCAAAAAAAACAAACATAAAGAACACAAAAAGGAGAGATGTAAAAATAAATAAAATGGGAAAATTGCACCTACGTGGATGAGCAACAAAGAGACTTCCCACAGCTTCAATAGAATATTTTTGGTGGGAAGAAAAAGTATCTAAAATGTTAACAAAGTTACAAAAACAGCACAAAGTTCAAACTAACACTTTACAAACCTGAAGGAAGTAGTTTTAAAATGTCTATTTAAAACCGAAACATTATTAAAACTTGTATTTAAATTTGTTGTTTCACCAAAGGCGCGGTACAAAATTAATACGTTATGGAGACTCGACTCTCTTTAAATACCAAAGTATAGATTTAACATTACGAAATGTAACATAATATTATGAAAAATGTGAGATTAAAACAAAGCCCTAAAAAATAATTACTTTATGAAAGGCTAAATAAAAAAAAATATAATAAAACTATAAAAACAACTAAAAAGAGTTAATTTTAATAATGAGGTCTTTAACAAATAATCAATTTATTAAATTCAGAAAAGGAATTGATAGTGAAACAAAGGAATTACTTCTAAGAAAATTAAATTTTAAAATTATAGGATGTATTGATTTTTAAAACTGATTGTTAAGTATTTCTTTAACCCATTGAAACTCAATAAAAGTGAAAAACATTGAAATCGTAAGGGGTCGATGAAGATGAAGCCAAGCCTAATTGAGACAAGTCAAACTTGAAGTCAACGGGGCAAACAAAACACGCGAAAGATGACAACAATGACACTCGACGAGCGTTGAGCTCTCGAGTTGAAGTGTCGCCAAAAAAATAGACAAGGAAGCTGCCAAAAAGAGATGTTCGAGCTGCGAACAAAAGACTTGCGCAATCGAATAGCGCAGATCTCTAGATCTCTGGGGCATTATATATAGGATTAGGATTAGAATTAAGAATAGGCGTAGAACTACTTACCATCCTTGGGTGGACTGGCGCAGGGCGGGGCGTAGCTGCCCAGGTGGTAGCCGGAGTAGGAGTTCTGGTGCATGGGCGGGAACGGGTAGCCGAGGGCACTGCGCGGACTCGGAAAGCCGGAGTCCTGGCCGCCCTGCGGTCCGAAATGCTGATAGGTGCTCCGAATGCCGCCGTACCTGGAATGCCGTAAATGCAAATGGAAAATATAATCAATACGGGGGGAAAAATAGAGTACTCGGGCTGTGAATGAATCGTGACCAGAGGGGACACACAACTTTTCCTCCTTGCGTGTTTTGTCTACACTTTTCACTATACACTATTCACTATTCACTATTAAATTCAAACGTCGGGCCAGGAAAATATCACACAAGTGAGCCCAAAATGTTTCATGTTTAATGCAAAAAGCGTCGAAACGAAAACTTTTTCTCTCACAACAAAAAATTAAGGCTGGCGCAGAGGCTGGAAACTTTTGCCATGACTTCATTTACACAAAACCAGAACCAGAAACAAAAACCAAACCAAAGCCCGAACTTGATGCGGCGTTATAATATATATCAAAGAAAAATCAATACAAATGTCAGAGTTTCTCTGTTTTAGTTTCTGTTTTCGGTTTTGACTGTATAGTAGTTCCGTTTGAAGTCCCGCTCGCTTGCGGTAAATATTTTGTTAACACTTGGCGGACGAAACAGTTGAGCAAGTTCCCATGCATTATGTTTGTCTCGGATCCTAACGAATTGCATGAAATATTCAATGCTCCCTTGGCCCCTGAAACACGGAAACGGAAGCGGGCCAAGAGCGGTAGAAACCGCAACGGACAGTGGATAGCGGACAACATGGCTGGCAGTCGTTCCAGGAACGGAGAAAAGACGTGGCCAAAAGACAACTCCTGAGGGCTGGGCAGCCAAGCATTCCAAGCCCAACACGCACAAATGACAGAGCAGCTGGAAGCGGAGGGAAAAACCGCAAAAGCCGAGAATGCAATAAAATATGTATAATGAAAAATCGAATCGTGCGTTGGGAAAACAATTTGCGGCAGCAAACAGTTTGTTCGTTCGCCAAATGAACGGCAACAGTAAATAAAATTACTAAAGCCCGACTTCTACCCCTTATAATGTGACGGAACGAGTACCAGAAACAGAACCCTCCGGATCAGACGCTTTATATAGCACACGGCTCCCGGTCCGTTAAACTATACTTAATTGAATTTATTTTTGGCTTCCGTTTGCCGGCCCAGGCACCAGCATGAACATGAACTGTAAGCCGGGAAATGCAGCTAAAGTGATTTTCTTAATCAAAAATAATAACGCGAGACCCCAACACGGGATCGATCCACAAAATCGTTGTACGCGAATTGTGAGGAAGTTAATAAAGCTCCAATTTTCTAAGGGTGCTTTGAGAGAAAAAGAAAAATGTTTCATTGTGTTCTAGGCAGCACTTGTTTTTGGAAAGATTTAATTTAACATACTGTACAACTCCAATATATAAGAACCCAAATGATTTAATAAATATTTGAGACTGATTTTTTAAGTGCTTTAATGTTTCTTATTTAAGTACTTGAATTCGCTACAGAAGAATTATTGAAAGACAAAATATTTTACAAAAATATTTGGTTGTCAAAGTTTTAAAATACCACATATAACAATAATATTTGGTTGTCTAAATTTACCACAAATATTATAAACATTTTGTTTGTGTTTTTATGTTTTACCTATATTTTTTTTAACTATGTAAATGCTCCAACATTTTTAAGTGACCTAAGCTTACACTTTTTTAAAGACTTCAAGTTAATGATAAAAAGTTTAGGTGACTATAAAAAAATCTCAATTGAAGTTTTAAGCCATATATAAACAATATATTAAACTGTTTTGATATCCAATGTAAAAAGCAATTTTATTTTTTTAGTGATTAAAATTATAAGCGTCTATTAAAAAAATATAGTTCAAGTTTTCAGCCATACAAAAACTTTGTTAGATATAAAAGATTTGCTACCCAATTTAAAAACCAATTTGAATAAGAGTCTCTTTGAATCTTGAAAAAGATTGGATCTATATCATTCTTTAGATTTATTAGAGAGATTTAAATTAGAGTTTGGGGAACGCCCTGGCCACCAACTCCTTTGTTTTACATTCGGGTGTGGCGAATATACCGCCAACTTGATTGGGTTCGGATAAGTTGGTAAGACAAAAGCCTGGCAAAAATGACAGACTATATACTCCTGATTTTCCCAACTACATCCACATCATGGATCTGGGATCTGGGATATTGGACTTATGGGGCACACTCACCCGGCGGCGGCGTGCTGCTGCAGCTCCACGAAGGCGGACTTTCCGGGAATGTTGATGCCGGGCGTGACGCTGGCCGCCGTATTCCCGCCGTCCATGTACTTGGGCGTGTGGGGGGCGTCGGGGGCGTCCATGCCGGACTGGGGGGTGCTGGGGGGCCCCTCGTAGGGGCTCCCGAGGTCCGTGAAATTAAGCGTGTTGGCGCCTATCGAGGCCACTTTATCAAGAATGTTGACGGCTTTTCTGGGGGATGCGCGCACGGAAAGGAGGCTTCGCAGCGATCCGATGGCGTTGATCAGCTATAGCTATAGTTGTGTATCAATCAATGTCTTGACTTCAGTTCAGTTCGTTTATGATTTGGTTAAGAACTTTCGAGCGCGTAAATCCTTTTTAGCTGGCGCGGAGGCACTTTACTCAGCACTGGCACTCAACTTGTTTGCACTTTCTCCGCAGCCCGCTATTTCGGCTTTCTTTTATCACTTGGATTTCTGGCTGTGCATATTTTTTTGGGTAAAACACGATTTTAAATTCCGCAATATCGGATCCGAATCAGTCTGAAACAGATCAAATCAAATTGAATCACTGTCGAGGCCGCGACGGATCATTCAGCAATCGACGCTAAAACGCAAGAACGCAAGAACGCAACAGCGCAACAACAACGCAACAACGACGGAACAACGACGGCAATTCAGCGGCAACAACAGCGGCGACGACTGCCCACGAACAAAGTGCGTATACGACTAGGTGAGGTTTTCGCGGCGCGGTTGCGCGAGACTTCGACTCGTTTGCGCTGTCGCTTTGCCGCCCTGCCGCTCTGTGGCCGTAGTGTGCGAGTGGGACGGCGTCCATTGGGTGGCCATGCATCGAAGCAGGACGGCTGCTGTGGTCCGAACCTTTTGCAGCTACTCTCGCGTGGCATCGCCAATCGGGTGGTTTGCAACCGGTTTTCGTCGGTGGTGTCTCTGTGTGGTGTTGCTGAAACCGCACCAATACCATAAATTTCCCTATGAGAGAGGGGTGATTGTGGTGTAGTAGTGGGCCCCCCTTCCCCCTCCCCCCTTCCCTCTTTTGTACCTATCGTCAACTTTGTCTAGGTCTAGGGCCCGCATTGAGATTGAGGCGTGGCCTGTCGCCCCGCCGCCCCGCAGCCCTTCGCATCCCCATGGATTTTGGGGCGACTTACAGCATTTATATGCAAATAGCAAAGGGGCGGGGGGTGGGGGCACTGCCCATGGAAAGTGCAAATATTTTGACGTTTTAAACAATGTTGATTAAATGCAAAGGTCTCAATTATTAAATTGATTGTTGAACCTGTAATTTGTCTTCTTATTTAACCGCTGCTCGTTTCGGGTTTTATTTTTGGCTTGTTTCCAAACTGAAACTGTGGCACACGCATTGCGATGGGTAATCAACAGTTGCGGAAAACAGACGAATTAAGTTAATGATTTGTTTACGTTTTACAATCGCTGGGAGTTTATTTTTGGGTAGGTATGTTACTTGTGGTGGTAAATGGGTATGGCAAGTTGTTGTATCATTTCCAATAGTGATTTGGCTTTAATTTACAACTTATTTAAAAGATGTCTTAAAGTCTCCTTGCGGTTTGGCACTGGTGTCGCCACCTAGTGGCCGCCTTTGGCAGCGTCAAACCAGTCTAACGGGCCAACCTGCTCACCTGTCAAAAACTTACACACTCACACACATACCTGTATGCACCCAGCACGCCCCCTGCTGAGAGCGGATACTCTCCTCTCTCGCTAGCCACGCCCCCTTGAGCGTCACCATAGAGAGCGAAGAGCGGAGAGCGCGCGCAGGTCCAATTCAAAATGGCGTCCTTTTTAGCAACATAATGTCGCTTTGTGGCTTTTGGACCAAGCGACACAGGCCATTTGTTCGAGCGGAGTTTTTCATTCACAAGACAAAGTCGCAGACCGGAGAGAACAGCGGAATTTCTACCTTTTTGAGTTGGAGCGGCGGTAAAGCGGTACCCCCGCCCTCTCCTCCTCCTTACCAGACACTTGTCACCTGAGAAGGATTTCCGCTAGAAGTGGAAAATATGCATATTCATGAATCGGAGCGGCGGCGCAATTAACCAGAACCAGAGTGCCACAAAAAACCGAATAAAGTTTATTATCTAAAAATAAATATATTAGTATCGAGAAGGCAGCGATAATTGTGCGCCTGATCCGACTGAAATGTTAAATGTTAATCCCTCGTCCGAACTGGATCGCACTGACCTGGTCGGCTGCACTGCACTAATTTAAGGGGAACAGAACGGTTCAAATGCACGTAATTGTTGCAATTACTTAATGAAATATTTATTAAATGCAAATTATGATTAGACCGAGTTCAGCAGCGGCAGCGGCAGCGGCAGCTACTGTTCCTTTTCCCACTAAAGGCGCTTCAACTGTGTGTTTGTGTGCTTGCGAGTGTGTGTGTGTGTGTGTTTGCCCCTCTTGGGCCGCGATTAATTGGCCATAAATCAAAATCAAATTACAGCCACACGAGACACGTGCAAATATGTCAAACAAACACGTTTGCAAGTCAATCAGACGGGCGAATTAATTTATCAACTTGTCGCAGATGAACCCGCCACATAGATCAATCAGATATAGGGTATCGATTATATAGATTATCCAGCTTAAAGAAGTTTATTAGCTTACTTATTATTAATATAATTTGTTTTATTTATTTGTGTGATTTTGTAAGAAAAATAATGTTCCCCTCTTTATGTTATGGGCTTTAAAATCTTTTCAGAAGTGGTTGATTTGTGATTTCATATATGTATATAAAGTAAGAGATTATTTCTGATAAATTCTTCTTCTAAATTTTATTTCTTCTAAATAAAAATACAAGAAAATACTAGCTAGAATTTAATTTCTGTAAACCTTAACTGAAACATCCCTTTTATTGGGAGTATTATGTGCCACAAATAATTAACCTAATGAACTATTTTCTAGCCAACTTTCCTGTTGACCTAGTCAACTTTCCTCCTTGACTCCCCAAAACCCTTTGACCTTTCCCATTTATTGACTTTTCTCATTACTAAAGAGATTACCATAATGCCACTTGATTGCATTGAAGGCCATAAACAAACAGGAAGAAAGGCTAACCTCTGAGCTTTACCCATTTTGGTATCTCACTTGACCAAGAAATCACTTCCAGAAGCGAGCAAATACGGAAGCCAAATCGATTTTATTACCAAACAACATTAATTTCCAAATTAAAGCCAAGAGCGGGCATTTGGACAAATGAGACGATTAATTTTCGGGGCAAAGAAAACCCAAGGAGAAGACCCGGGCCGGGCCAAAGAAAATGAACGGAAAAGTGGAAAGGAATGGAAGGGGAAAGCGCACGGAAACACCCACGAAAATGCAAGCGACGACGACCAAAAGTTCCCAAACGAAATACAATTTATCATTTAAATAATAATGTGCCACAAATGACGGGACGAGTGAACGTGAACGTTAACGTTAACATGAACGTGAACCCTTGTGCGAGCGAAAGAGCATAAATCAAGAAAGAGATGGCCAAAGAGCTAGCTTCTGGGGGTTGCTGTCGAGCAGTTGGTCGAACCGACCAACTCAATGAAATGGAAACTGACTCCGAGCCACATTTGATGGCCCGCTCACTTGACCGTTTCCAGCCAAATGAAATGCGAGGCAAGGCGCTCAAATTACATTTTAATGAGTCTGTATAAGGGCAGAAATTGTTCGGTTCGGTTTGGTTTGGTTTGCTTTAGTTTGGTTTGAGGTCCGCGACTAGCGAAAATCAAACTGCAGGCGCTTACCTCACCTCACCTCACCGCGGAAACGGACCATTCGATGCGCCTTTCAACGCCATTAACCCACACAGTGGAGCCCCGCGAAGTGCAACGCGAAAAGGGGGAAGGGCGGGAAACGCCGAGTTTATGAATCTGTTTATGATGTACGAGGAGGCTAATGAAAGCGCCTCAGCAGGCGCCAAATTGGGTCAGGACCGCCTGCGGTTCGCCAGAGCTCGGGGAGCCACATGGAGCCGCCAAGCCAAGCCTGTGTGTATTGACATTCAATTCGAAATAAATCAGAGTTTACGACTCCAGCTGAGCCGACGACTTCATCGCCCTCTTTGGGCCACTTCCAGGCGGCTGGCTTCAAAGATCAACGTCGCTGGTGGCTCTGCAGTTGGGCTATACAGTGGGCTCTACAGCGGACTGCCATCCTGTCCTGGCGTTAATTGGCAGCACCGACACTGGCCGGGCCAATAAATTTTGCAGGCCAACGGCTTCACTCCGCTCTGATCCTCTGAGTGTTGATGTATTCATTGAATCCTAGGATCCACCACGCGCGAGTCGTTTGGACGCGATTCCACCTGGCACTGGGACACAAATTCCAACTGCGCCAATTAGCCACCGAAACACAATGGCCGGAAAACGACTGCTGCAGTGGAACTGGTCGGGCCCCGCCGTCCAGGAATTTCGATTGGAATGGTGATGGCTTCATTGCTCTGAGATGGCGAAAAGAGTGTTATTTTATTCTATTAGGTCATTTCAATAAAACTGATGGCTTAAGTATTGGCCATTAAAGATCAGCTTTTTTTACATTAAACCCACTTGGTTTAAATAATCAAAACATTGTGTTTGATAAAATTATTTTATTTTTTTCTGTTAAGACTTTAAAAAAAATTAACATTGGTAATTAAAGTTGAACTTCCTTACATTAAATCTAATTGGTTTAAATAATCAAAACTTTGAAAACTTTTTAGCCAATGGTTTGATTGATTATTTTTATTCTATTGTCATTTTTATAAAATAAATATTTCTTCAAGCGCTCGCATTATTAATATTTTTTTTTATTTTGTGTTCTGGCACTATAAGTACAAAATATTTTTACAAAATCAAATTAAAAAACAACTTTATCCAAAACAAAAGACTGAAGTAAAAAACTTGATCGCCGGAACCTCAAACGAAAAAAGAAACAATTTCAGTAGTTTGCTATATGTAGAAAACATTTGTATATTTGTTATTTACTTTACATTTTTTTGTAGAGATTATATTCTGGGAATGTTTTTATTATCTATTTTGCTGCTCAAACTATACTAGTAGTCTACGACTGTAGCACGACAATTCTAGTTTATAAAATTACAAACGTGGTTTTTATTATCCCTCAGCTTTATGGATGCAGGTTAATAAAAAATCGATTAAAGTAATATAATATTTTGTATATATTTATTTTTATTACCCAATAAATTACTTTTTCAAAACTATTAAACAATTTTATAACAAACGACAATTCTAATTTGCATGCTAAAAGCTCAATAAAAAATCAATTAGAATAATGTCCAGGTTTTTTTATATTCAATAATCTTGAAGAGTTAAAAAATGTAAGAAATTTGTTTTTTTAATTTTTGTTTTTCGTTTTTTTAATTTTTTGTTTTTTGTTTTATGTATATCAATATGTTACACAACTTGTCCAATAGACAATATATGTAAATACTTATGTTTCTAGATCCCTGCCTTAAAACTCATTCGATTAACATTAAAACTTTCGGCTCGTCGAACACCGCCCCTTAAATCGCTTCAACTCCCCTTGGGATTCGGCAATTTCACACTTTGGGAACGTTTTAAGCAGCGTCACTCGAAAGGAACAGCCACAGAGCATCAACAAATAACAAAAAAAAAACCCAAAAAACATCAAAAAACTTAACACCGAAACAAAAATGAAATGAAATGTTTGGAAATTTGAAAATAATTGTTGACACTTTATTATTGTAGTGCTAGCGGTATTGTAGTTGTTGTTGTTGCTGCTGCGACGTAACAAGTGTCTGGCACCGCCCCCGCCCCTCTGCTCAACCCCCTCCACCATCAACCTCTTGGCTGCACATGCGCAGGCCTGAAAAAACTTCCGGCACAACAACAACAACAGCAACAACAAGAGGCGCAGTATGTAAATGGGAAAAATTTAGTTGTGTCACATTAAAAAGCAATTATCACCTTAAATTAACCGACGGAGTTGGAGTCGCAACGTACATTGCCATCGAAATATTCAAATTGCTCGACTCGACATTTTTTCTAATGACTTTCCGAAAAGGCGCGATTCGAGGAGGAGGGGTGCTGCTCAAATTAACTTGTTGCTATTTTCAATTGGATGGCTTCGGTTCGGTTTTATTTGGGTTCGGGAGGTTTCAAACGGTTGCGGTTTTAATTCGTTTTAAATTATCTCGTAGTAGCAGTAGTAGCTTTGTTTCGTTTTTATTCAAATGGATAAGGTAGTTGGCTTCCCCAAAGGTAAAGTTTAATTTGCCATGGTGAGGGTGCCGATTATTGGACCCCTTCGAGTATTTGGACAGTGGCAAGGAGACCAAATCTCATTCTTAATTTAATTAAATAAATTAAATTGGCAGTTTTTTTTTAATTTTTGATTATAAACAACCGACTTTTTTATTCAGTTTACTGAAGTTGGCTGCATTATTATGTTATTTTATAATTTAACATTTTATTTTCATATCATTAAAAGGGCATTAAAAAATAAAACTTTACTTTAAAATTTTGCTACTCATCGATTTAAGAATTTGCAATATGAAATAAATCATTAACTAGCAAAATTTTGAAGATTTTTAAATCTGTTTTGATTTTACCATACCATTTTTTAAGACAGTTTAGTCGACTTATTTATTGAAAATATTGAACCAAAAATTTATCAATACTATTTGATAATTAATTAATTTTTAAATTTTTTATAAACCATTTTATTTTCATACATTAAGCTATATATCTTCACCGACATTTTTTGTGGTTCCTTTACCACTGTGCTATTTGTCCTGGACTTTGACAAAACAAAATGAAAACTTTTTTGTATGTTTTGACGGAAACATTTGTCAGCGATTTTCCAGCGCCAGGCCCAAAAGTGCGCTGAAAAACATTTTGAACAATTTAATTAGAATCACCTAAGCCCGACCTGCCAGTCAAATTATCATGTGCGTGTGTGTGTGTGTGTGTGTTCGACAAGCAAGAGAAATGGGGAAAAACAGTTTCCGATGTGATTTATGAGCAGCATGTGTGACATTTGTCGCCATTGTTGGCTTACTGATGTAAGCGCAGCAATTACCGCTTACTGTTGGCTCATAGTACTACCACTGCAGCAGCTTCACCAGCAGCAGCAGGAAGAGACTTTCCAGGAGGGCACACCACCAGGTCAAATGCAACCGCTTGGCGGTGACACCTTGCAGAGGATGGAAGTGCTCCTTCATGAGGAAGACCTCCTCGTGGACATGGCATTGCTGGGGCTGAACAGCAAGTCCAGTTCTGTACTCCCCAAGATCGTTTCTTGCCATTGGCAGACTGAACAGCAACAGCAGCAGCAGCATCATTACGGCCCAAGAAAAGAAATATATTTGAATTGAATTGGTAATATTGTAGATTTTGGTTCCTCCCCTTATACAAAAAATGCAAAGTTTACTTTGACTGTCGGGGCTCTAAAGAAAATGCAGACCCTAAAAAGGTGTCCATATCGGCGCTGCACAATTAATTAACAAAGGCAGCCAGCTTTCCCCTTCATTCGATTGCCTTTGTGTGTGAGTGATATGATTTATATTGTCTCCCTGGCTGGCGCCAAACATCCAGAGTCCTCTGCCTTGGTCGGCATCTTTAATGTCTCGCAGGGAACTCAGAACTCACAACTCAGAGCTAAGAACTCAGAACTCAGAACTCAACTTAATTCCTTGTGTGCGTGAGTGTTTTTGTGGACTATGGGCTAAGGATGATGCTGATGATGATGAGAGGCGGCTGCGCTTTTAATTCCCGACATCGTCTACCTTCGCTTTTGCTTTTGCTGGCCATTTGGCCATTGGTTTTCGGTTTTCGGAAATTCAGCATCGCATCGACTTTTCACACTTCCCTCGGTTACGCTCCAATTTCAATCGGAACACCCCCGCAGCCAGGCGGGCATTAAAAAGAGATTTGCCGTAGTTCGCTAATTATATTTTGGTACACGGGCGCAAAACACCTCCTTCCGCTGTCCGATGTGCAACCCTTGAGGTCCTTGCTAATGGGCTGCCCTGCAGGAAGAAAGGGATTAAAAGGGTCGCAACTGAACGGATTAAGCTAATCCAAGGTCGCTGCCTAGCGCCGGCTCAAAGTTCGACGCAATTGGACTCGCATTCGCATTTACATTTGCATTTGCATTTGCAAATTCAAATTCGGGTTAGTGCGCTAAAAACTGGGCCAGCGAGTTTATGGCCCGATGCAAATGAGGGCCAAGCTCACAAGTCAGCTAACGGTGAGGTTCTTGCTACTTCTATCCACCAATGTTGCACTGCTGCAGCACAGGCACAGTGAAGCATAGTGCAGCACAGCAGCAACGCCCCCTGGTATATCGCTCCGGGAAGTCCGAGGCAGCAGCATCTATCAAGCTGCGAGGAGGGGCAGATACAGATACAGATACAGATACAAATGCAGGCACAGATTCGAAGATGCGAGCCATGTTCCCGGGTATTATAAAGTGCATTGTGGCTACCAGTTAAGTGCATGTTACTGGCCAGAGGGTTCGGTAGACGGAGCCCAGCCCCCCAACTTCGACAGCGACAGCGACTCCGGTAGGTGTGTAAACTATGTTGCCGCTGCCCCATGTTGCTGCTGCTGTTGCTGTTGCTGTTGCTGTTGCTGCATGCCGCATGCCGCATGTTGCTGTTGCCGCTGCCAAGCAGTCAGCAGAGCCAACCCATCAACAGCCAAAACGCCACGGGGTAGGACCTTTTTCTTAGCTTTTTGAGCCAGTTATTTGGATACCCTAACTTGGAGTATTTAATATATTTATTTGAATTCTTTCCTTAAAATACAATATATTTAAAAATTAATTATAATATGATTTAAGTTGCTAAATACAAAGCAAAAACTTGTTGATATTCCTAATATTTATCATTTGTACTCCTCCATGATTTTATGGTGCTCCAGAGTAAAAGTCCCATATAAATGCATATTCCATCAGCTTTAGGATCTGCGCTATAGCTAAGAATATGAAAATCTGATGTTTGAAGAAAATTTAAAATATAATAATAGCTTTTTTAGCTTTAATAAACTGTCCTCTGAATGCTTTATTTTTGGTCTTGAATAAATACATAAATTAATATAATGAATCACAATCCAATAAGTTATTGGATATAATGTATTTTGATAACTATTTCTATTGTCATAATATAATACAAAATATAAATTTTAGATAGAGTATCAAACGATGCTCCTTTTCAAATCTGACCTCCTGTTTTTTGTCTTAGCTGTTTGGTGTTCTCTTGGCGGCCCGGCGGACTAACCGAGTGGGCGCGTTCACGTCCACTACCACATCTACAACAACATGCACGTCCATATCCACAAGCATGTTCACCTGATGCCGCTGCAGTAGAACAGCTTCTGTTTAGCATGGAAAACAGCAAACTGGCCTGGCTTTCTTCCCATTCATGGAGTTGGGCCTGGCTGGCAACAAGTTGCCAAGCTATAATTACTGCATCCATGTCGCTGCAAGTTGCTACTTCATAAATTAGCATGCTGCTGCTGCTGTGCCGTTGCTGTTGCTGTTGCTGTTGCTGCTGTGCCGCTGCTGTGCCACTGATGTTGCTGCTGCTGCTGCTGCTGCTGCTCCAGTCAGTGCTCAGCGCTTTGTCATTGCCAGAAGTTAGGCCTAGAATGGCGCGTTTTCCAAGGAAACAGCAGCCAAACACAAAACAGACCGAGCCCAAAAGCACAAATCACAAATCACATGGTCGGCATTAGGCTTCCGTGTTCTGTCTCCTGGAAAAAAGATGGAGATGAAGTTGGAGTTGGAGTTGGAGACTGAGTTCCAGACGAGGTCGTTCCCCGCCTCCGGGCAGGCTCCTCATCCTCATCCTCATCCTTATCCTTTTGCTGTTTCTGTTTCTGTTTCCCTTGAATTCCTTGAAACAACGGAACGCCCCCAGTGGCCAAGCCAAGCTCTACTTCATCCTCCCTGGCTGACCCACAAACAATTTGTTTTTGCATTTCGCTGAAGGGGACGCGAACCTCGGACCAGGGACCATGATATGGCCACCACCCCATACTATACCATACCATACCATATACTCTCAATAAAAAAACAAAACAGCGAGAAAAACTGGCTTTCGACATCATTATCACTGCGATCACTGGGCCCCTTGCGTGTCTCTGGCTTTGCAACTCGTCCCAAGGTTTCGATTTCAGGAAATCAATCTTGTTTTGGCCAAACACTCGAACTTGGCCAGCTGAAGAAAACACCGAAAGCGGGCTGCCCTGGCCCTGGTTCATCATTAGCCCAGGTCTCTCTCTCTCTTTCTTTCTGGAAGGAAGGAAAGACAGGAGCTGCCAGATGACCCCGGGCGCAGTCCGAGACTGGTCAACACCCAGGCCAAATGAATGGCGGGCAGGGACAGTCCAGTACACTCAGAAAAAACTTCATTGATTTATATAATTGCCTTCAATTGAGTTTTAAAACCATCGTGGTCTTAAAATGGAATAAATGGCTCATTCACGGCAAACAAATTAAAGGAATCTACTTTAGTTGTTTGATTTTAGTACTTATTTCCCTTATTCAGTTCAATTTTTTTTTCATTTTTTTTCTATTTAACAGGCTTATCCAAACAAAACCAAAATAATTATTAAAAGTAAGTTAAGTAAAGAAACTAAAAGAAAATATTTGGATTTATAAAAGTGGTCCAAATTGACCAAATTGAAAAACTACCTTAATTAAAGAACATTTTAATTAATTTTGTCAATATTCCTAAAATGTAGGTTACTTTAATACATACTATTTACGTAATTTTGGGTGAAGGTTGATTTTTCATTTAATTTTCAATGCATTTATGATTTAAATTTGTAGGCTGATCCAGATGACTTAAAGTATATTTTGTTAAGTCAATTTCACCTTAAATTTCGGTATTGTTTTTGACTATTTATTTAGCCTTTACTTTCTTAGTTTTTTCAGCCAAATTTTAGGCCATGTTACTTTATCTGCAGTTATTTGTTAACGTTTTAAGTCCATATTTTGCTCTGGGTGTAAGAGACGGATGCCGATGATGAGGCTCCGACTTGGACGTGGACTTGGGATGTGGTTGTGGCTGTGGCTGTGCCCTGGCCCCGAGGCATCAACTCGTAAGCGTTTTGAAGACCTCCAGTGCAGCACGCGATTTATATACGACACCCAGGAAACGGGTTCCGCCTGCCCCTCGAAACCAGGGACTCGTGCTCTCCTAAGTCCAAACTTTATGCGCTCATTAACGATTTCACTTGAATCTGAATCTCGATGGGATCGATGAGAAATGTGGTTTTAATTGGGATTAGGCCAAAACAACTCACTTACGTCCAACACGTGCAACTCATCGGAGTGTGTTTGAAATGCTAATAAAAGATAGATTTATCATCCGAGTGCAGAGGCTTAGGCGCTACCATAATGATTACAGCAAATACTCGTAGTCAACAGCAGCTCCTAGCCAGGCAACAACTTCACTTTGCTCGGCTCCCAAAAAGCGCTGCATCATGACGAGGGTTCCTGGGTTACTCCGCGTTCTCTAGAGGAGGAGAGAGTATAGGGTTCGCAGACCAGCGACAGGCCAACCACTTGCGTGTGTCACTGCGGTGACGCTCAAGTAGTCGACTGGCTCCGGCTCCATACTCCATACTCCATCCTCCATCCAACACTGAAGTCCCAGCCAACAAGGGCAGAGGCACCTGATCGGGATGGGTTAAAGGTGCCTCCAAGAGCACTGAGAGAAATAGTGGACTAATTCATAGGCTATGCTTGACAAAGTAATAACAAAAAGAAAAAATGCATTACCAATAAAAACCGAATTATAGACTATTTTCCTACTTTTAGGTTATGTGTCAATCAAACTTGTAGGTTTCCTTCAAGCGGTCTATGTATAATATAAATGTGAATTTCATTCATACTTTCTAGGTAATGTGTAGACAAAATTTCCTCAAAATTAAATCCATTCTTGAACAATAAAATTCAATAAAAATCAATGCTTTTTAGAGAGATAAAATATGTAAGAAAATCATAATTATCCAAATTTATTTCAAAGAAACAACATTTTACGGAAATGAAAATAAAATGTTTAAGAAAATTTTTTAAGAAATTATTTTGGTTTTTATTTTTAAGGTATAGCTTTTAAAAATAACAGTTTTTTAAAATCAATATTACATATATATCTTTTAATATTAAATGAATACAGGCAATTTCTTCCTTATTTATATAATTAAGTTTAAGTGACCTTTCCACTTGCTAATTGTTTTGTAGGAACAAAAACCACTGTGTTTTAATAGCTGCAAAGGCAATCGTCTACAATTATTTTTTAAAAAACATAAAAAACACTTTAGAAGTATTTTGCATTTAAATGAAATTTCATATTTTTAAC